TCTTTCCTTATAAATGCATTCACTATTACTCGTCTAGTCAGAGGAAAAATTTTATTTATTCCTGTAGGAATAATTGAAATAGGTGACAGAACTTGTTTACTAGGAATATAGGGATAATCAAATTTTATGTTGAACTAGTTCAACTTAAAATAGGTGGAAAAATTGTGAAATTTTAATTTGAACTAGTTCATATTAAAATTTTATTTATTCCTAGGAATATTTTAAATTCTCCTGCATTTCATTTATGCCTCCGACATATACATACATGTCCTCCCCATTATACGATAGTTCCATATTCTTTTTTTCAGGCAGATTGAACAATACTGTTCTCCATTCTCTTTCCAATCCAGGGAAATAAACTGACGGATGCGAATTTTAACGGTTTCCCTTAGGCCTATAAGCACATAGGTTTGAATAGATAAATTATACATCGTTTAAAGCCCGTAAAAGTGTGAATTTTTCCATGTATGAGTTTCTCGTAAGAAGAATCGACCTATCACAAACAATTAAAAAATATAATGCCCTAACATTTTTGAGGGGCGCTCAAACATGATCGAAGTTTTCGGAGGACAATAGACCACAACCAACTTTTGAAGATCAGAATATTAAAAATTAAATAAAGGACTACTACCAATCATTTTCACTCACTATCTCCTTAAAGTCATATTGAGGCATTATTTCACAAAAACGTCCCCGTGTTTTGATCAGCCTATTATTCTTAAACTGTTCGTTTTTCGGTCGAATTTGCATAGGATTCAAACTACTATTGCTTCTCAAAATTGATTTCGTCGTTTTTATCTCAGTGCAAATATATTGTTTTCAGATCTTAAAATGGATATTGATTTTGTTGCCGATCATATCTGCCTGGTTTGGGTAGATAAGAATATGGAATATTATACACGAACAAAAGACAAATTTCGTGAAAATACCAATACATTGGTAACATTTAATAATCCACAACAATGCATCCGGTTTATATACCAAAATCCAACTAAAAAAATATTCCTCATTACTCAAGGTATGTTTGCACCCTATATTGTTCCCGCAGTTAACAATTGCGATCAACTAGAAAGTGTTTACATATTTTGTCATATCGTGGCCAATTATCGTTTTGAGGAAATGCAGTATGAGAAAATAAGGAAAGGTGGTATATTCGATATTGATGATGATTTAAACATGAAGTTAACAGAAGATATTGCAAAATACTTGATACAAACTACAATGGACTTACAAAACAAAGCAAACAGCTGTACCCAAAAAGCTCAAGACTTAATCGAACGCTATAGACAGTTGTATCAAGTGAAATGTACATTACTGTTAAATAGGTCACCAGATGAAGAAGTTCCTTATGGTATTCAATCAAAATTATAACAAACACGTTTATTTATCTACAGATTTTCTTTTTCACCCGCAAAAAGTATCCTATTGAAGATCAATAAGTAAAATTATATCAAATATGTTGTGGTGGAGAACCTATAAGAGTAAAAAAATGCGAAAATGTCTCTTTAGCATAGTCAAAACAGTATAATCTCTTCTTAGGCTAAATTCAGTTTATTACTAATGAACTTTAACGTGATAAAAGTTTGAATACATGTCGACAGTTTTTTAAATCGAGATGAAGCGATTCGTTACGTTACTTATATAAAGGACGTGCACTAAAATGTTCATTAAAAAATAAGTCATGAGAGTATCAATAGTAAAATCAAGAAACATTTTACGTTAAATCTGACGTATTAACTGCAGCTATTTCTGACTTCATCCTTTTATTTCAATAAAAAGATGAAGTCAGAAATAGCTGCAGTTAATACTTCAGATTTGACTTTAAAATCGTTGTCCTTTATTGATATTGAACATTTTACGTTGTATAGAAGACTATCATTAGATAGTTTCTTAACAACAGCTTAACAAATGATAGATAACTGCTGACAAAAATTACATAGTTGTGCATTTTTACTAAAATCAATAACTATTGTCAGTCCAAGAATTCAGTGGACTCGGAAATGATTGTGCCTAAGAAAATATAGGTTAAACTATCCTCTTTCAACTGCCGAAAACCGCAAGTCTCTATTTTTTACTATCTTTGAGTTATTCAAAAGATATCCGAGTCCACGGAATTTTTGGACAGACAATAGTAAAGAATTACAACTATCACTCAGTGGGCAACCACTTGGACATTAGGTGAAAAAACGAAAATGCGCTTTTTCGAGATTCAAATAGCAGGTCATATAGTTTAGCTCACGCTCTATTTAAATGGATAGGAAGTTTTTTCCTACGTGTCTTAGTTAGTGAGAAAATGGCTGAGGAAATTTTTGTTGTAAAATAGAGCGATGAAGATAGAAAAATATTTTTCGCCAAATCAAATCTAATAATTATAAAAATCACATCTGATTAGAACCCATTGATAAAAAGTTTTTGTAGACAACTTTGGAACTGAGAAAATAATGTTTCTAAGTGTTTCCCGAAGAGCGGACCTCAGTATATAGTCGAGTTCCCAATTTTTCCCAAGGTCCAAATTTAATGAAATGTTTGTAGGATATGGTTCTACTAGTGACACAGTTATACAGATAGCAGAAAGTAGCAAAAGTGTTCCTGAATTGAATTGTAGGTTTCTAAAAAAGCCCTTGGTTTTTGGAGTAAAGTCTTTTTTCCCCTTCAAGAAGCAACTGTATTGAAAAATAATAACATATTCGAAATCACACAAAACTGCGTCGAATGATGTGTCAGTTGTATGTTTTTATGCACAAAAAATCGTTCGATTTGATGAAATGACAGATTTGCAGTATTTCCGTAGCAATTTTGACTAGGCACGCCGACATGTGTCATAAAAGTGATATGAAAGCCACTAAACACTATTTTTCTAGGTTTTCGAATGTGCACATCTTTTCAATGGTGTGATTAACAAATTCAAAGATGTTTTTATCAGGGTTTTCCAAAGATCCTGCCTCTGGAAAACCAGACTAAAAGTGTTTTAGAACTTTGTAAATCACACCATTGGAAAGAGCACATACGAAAACCTAGAAAATGATGTTCAGAGGCTTTCGTACCACTTTTATGACACATGTCCGCGTGCCTGCTCAAAACTGCCCATTATGTATCAGCATCTAAATAGTCGAGCGACATTTCTAACGCAAAGACATCATCCACCCAATAAGTATGAGCAACCGCAACTGTTTGCAAAGAAAGCTGCTGTTATAATTTTAGAGACTGAATCCAATAAGTTAAAACGAAAAGTGCAAGTTTGAAATGTATCTGTTTAAAAGTGGAACACAAACTAAGCTCATTCTTGGCAGGCATATATGAAAGATCATACGCTACCAAATATCCAAAATTTACTTGAAGCTATTTGCAAAAATGTGTTAAAGAAACTTGATGGGAGCATCGGGAATCAGAGGCACGTACTGAAATTCCCGGTTCTAATTGTTTCACTGAATGTTACCCTGTGAAAAATCTCTATGCGTCACTGCTTAGCCTTTTAGTACCTTGGTGATAAATATGCATCCGTTGAGTTCTCAGCAGTGATAAACGAAAAGACGAAAATTTTTACAATAGGCGCCAATACTAATAGGTGTATAAATGTATGAAATAGTAGATTTGATTTTTAACATGGAAAAGTTTTATTCTTTTCCTAAGTTCTCTCTTGTTATATGTGTCATATGGTGAAATCGCCGATTGTATGTAGATCACCGTTGAAAGAAGTAGGAAAAATTGAAACTTTAATGATCACAAATAAAATCCAAAACTAAATGTAGAGTAATTATAGTGATTTTGATTTTGAAGAATCAAAAGCTTGTGACCATATTTCTATTAATTACGTTCTAGGTTCTTGTCGCCATCGATTCTCTTCTTTTTACAAGATCACTATTGTGAAGAATAATCAATGGATGACGAATTGGAATTCTTAATTAAACATTCAAGCATAGAAAAGGTTGAAACTCATTCTTCCCGTAGAATTTGAGCTTTTGCGCGATGTTCAAAGCTAAAGACCAGTCTTCTATAGAGTAAATGTGCCTAATAAGAACAGACCTTTTAAGTTGCGGAGCTTTTCTTTACCGTAAAATAATTTCTTAATCGACCTATGCACTTCACTTTGAAACGTCAAGCGCTAAAAAAGTCGATTTTTCAATCTTTCGCATAATGTTTATCGCTTATTGAGTTGTCATTATTGGTAATAACGGTTTATTGCCATAGAAGGAGCGTAAATACGACTGTATTCAAGTATTTTATCGAGTCTTGAAGAGAAATTCAAGGCTATCTCAATTAAATTTTATTAGAGTCATAAAGAAAGATTGACTCGGTCAACAGAACAACTGGTATCATGACTATTAGATGTGGAGTGCATAGCCTCAATAAAATTTAAGACTCCTCTCTCAGAAATACGAATTTTTTGTAAAAATAGTCAATATTTAAAATTTAATTTACTCATTATCAACATTTACAATAAATAGCAGCATTTTTTTATTTATTTTCATCAAGACGAAAAGAATTTAAACGCAAAACACCATTAAACATTAATCGATAATGAAGCTTTGAAATCTATGGAGTCAATAAGCATAGATGTATGTAGTTAAAACAAAGGAGTAATCAGCAGTAGTTTATGGGCATAATTACCCGTACGGGGTAATTAGAGGCACTTCACTTATACGCTTTGGGTAAATAGAGGCACTCCATTCAAATACATGGAGTTTTAATGTACAATTGCTGGTTAATTAAGCTTAGGAGATAGTTAGTTCAAAAAAACTTTGTCATTTGGTATAATACCGCAATCGACTTCTGAGAGTCGGTAAAGGTTTGTCTCTGACCATTCCGTGTATTCCAGTGGAGTGCCTCTATTTATCCCAAAGCATAAAAAGAAAAAAAAAAAATTCTAGTACTGTTGATTATATGCTAATTAGCTTAATGAGTTTAAATAATAATGAGCTCAAAACTATATGGTAGAGAGAGGAAGATCTGGGCTACAAAATGAGGTATTTTTGAACTAATTATCTCCTAAGCTTAATTAACCAGCAATTGTACATT